AACTTAGATTATAAACTTGAAGCCTTATACCATAATCAATTTCATGGATAGAATTTTCTTCTCTTGAATCTTTTAATCTGATAATCTACCACAAGCAGCTTAACAACTAGTTTCAAAGGCAACGAATCGAGATCTAAAATTCATCCTTGTAGAATCCTTCTCCTTTCTTTTGGCATTCTCATGTTGAATCTTGAGTCTTCTCCATTAATCATTTGTGTTGATAGTTTGATTGTCTTCAAGATCTTCCACAATAGAAACTTAATTATTTATCATAATTTTTGTCGATCTTGTAGCTATTCAAGTTTAAATACATTCAATGGTGTGTTTTCTCTTGTTAGATCTAAGGATGAAACTTGGGCGGGTTAGACAGGCAACCCCAGTCTAACCCTAGGTATATAATCTTGAACTCTAACTTTAACTCTAATCTTGCATCGAATTGAGAAACTCAACTCGAGCACTACTTGAGTTTAATTCGGGTAAATAATTTCGGATTAGTTTACGGATTCAATTCGGGTATAGTCTAAAATATGTTTATTGTTATAAACCTAATACATATATTACATAATATTCACATAAATTAACAACCAATAACTTCAAACAAGTTTTTAACATAAAAATCATAATCAAAACATAAAAACCATTACCACCAGTCCGCTGCGAGAGAGACAGAGGGCGATAGAACATAAATGAAAAATCAATGTTAATACTTTATATATATATAATTTTTTTTTTAAATTGTCGGGTTCGGGTTGAACCCGTGAACCTGATGCCTTAACCCAAGCACAACCCAAATTAAATTTGGATTAGAGTTTTTTGACCCAAGCCCAACCAAAATATTAAAAACCCTTGACCAAGCCCTAATTTTTTCATATTGAAATCGGGTTGTCCAACTTAAATTGCACCCCTAGTTAGAGCTCACTCTCCCTAAACAATATAGTCCCTCTACTAGTCTCTTGTCCTGCATAGAAGACTTAATGAACTACCTCTTTAAACAAAAATAAGAAATAAGAATTTTGATCGAGTTTAAAAACTTATCTGCATCACAACACTCGATCAAAGAGTGGTCGCCACTGAAAAGTCAAAACAAGGACCACAAAGGAAGCAATGCCCGAATGTTTGAGAGTGTTGTCTTTAGAATTCATTTTTCTAGCATTGCTCAATTTACTAATTCTCGAGAGCATACGAAGAACGTTATATACTGGTTTTACTCAAAAAAACCAATGTTGTAAATAAACTCTNGAATGTTTGAGAGTGTTGTCTTTAGAATTCATTTTTCTAGCATTGCTCAATTTACTAATTCTCGAGAGCATACGAAGAACGTTATATACTGGTTTTACTCAAAAAAACCAATGTCGTAAATAAACTCTCTAAGTACTAAAAGGTATACATAGTCTAATAACTCATTTCAAAAGCTATTTTAGAAAACTAAAACCCTAAAGTTTCAAATACTTTTCAGCACAAAAAATATACGAGTTGTNTTGTAAATAAACTCTTTAAGTACTAAAAGGTATACATAGCCTAATAACTCATTTCAAAAGCTATTTTAAAAAACTAAAACCCTAAAGTTTCAAATACTTTTCAGCACAAAAAATATACGAGTTGTAAACGGATTATGTACTCACAGTATAAATTCAATTCTAACACCTAAATTAAACCAAATGAAGACAACTATGTATTTAAGTTAAATTTACCTCACCTAAGCTTGATAAGATCCAATACGTCTTCATTCGTATATTAATGTAGCTAGAGCTTCTTTATCACATCTTGTTTCGGTCTTCGATCTTTATTTAGTCACTTGACCATGGATTTACTTGAGATACAAGATATATAGTGACCTCACGAAATTCNAATAATGTAACTAGAGCTTCTTTATCACATCTTGTTTCGGTCTTCGATCTTTTATTTAGTCACTTGACCATGGATTTACTTGAGATACAAGATATATAGTGACCTCACGAAATTCACAAATTATAATATTTTTTCTAATAATTTAATTCAAAATAAACGATGCAGGTCATTTTCGACTCGATACCTCTAAAACATCATAGCCTTGTCCTATTAACTATCAACAAATTTTAAANATTAATGTAGCTAGAGCTTCTTTATCACATCTTGTTTCGGTCTTCGATCTTTATTTAGTCACTTGACCATGGATTTACTTGAGATACAAGATATATAGTGACCTCACGAAATTCACAAATTATAATATTTTTTCTAATAATTTAATTCAAAATAAACGATGCAGGTCATTTTCGACTCGATACCTCTAAAACATCATAGCCTTGTCCTATTAACTATCAACAAATTTTAAAGCAATTAATGACGTTATCCAATATAACTGTGTTGTATATCATTTAAGAGCAATGCTATTGAGACCTAATTTACTGACTTAATTTGCTGACCTAATTCATTATGACATTTGAATTAACTATGGGCTCCATCAAACATTGGAACTTGGTGTTTATCCAATGGTTCCAAAACAGCCACATCATTAAATTAGCAAATTATATCAGATTTTTAGGTCCAAATGACATTTTCCATCATTTAATGATATTTTCTAGGTATATTTTGTTTCTTCTTTTTAAGTAGTTTTTTTTTCTTTATCTGCTTATTGACACTTGACTCTTTTTTGACAAGGTCATATTTGCATATTCATATATCTAAATTTGTTGTTTATAGACTTGGTTATATTTAGATTATTTTTGCAAAAAGATAAATAATTTTTACTTTTTCTGATGAAGTTTATAAACTACTTCAAAACGATACATTAATCTATTAAATTTTCTTGATAAATGAAATTTGTATAAGTTAAGTCGCTCTTGACATCGTCGATGTATAGAATTGAAATATGATGTATGATATGAGACAACCATTCTTCACATAATAAGTTTATTTGACACAAATCAATATGAAATATTATGTATGAATTAATCTTAAAATGCAAAATTGTTCTATTAAGTTGTTTATAATAAAACTTTATATAGATCAAGCCATTTTTAACAAAAAAAAAAAATTACTTTGATTTGAACACTTGACTGATCCGATTCAATACCAATCCTAATCAAAAAAATATTTATTGGGTGGGTACTTTAAGAATGTTTTAATTTTTTTCTATCATCCGAGAAAAGTAAGGTAATACAATAATATTATTTTAAACCATATTTAACACTTAAAAATTAACTATAACACAAAGGGCCCAAAACGTTCTTAGTATTGTAGCACAAAATAGCGGTTAAATATTATCGTTTTTTCTCCCTTATCACCCCCTTCATTTTCTCTTAATCAATTACTCATTTCAGTCTCTGAGAATGATCTAGTTTTTTTAACTCCCAATAATTGTATAACTTTAAATTTTTACACAGTTATCCTAATTTCTAAATAACAAAATAATCTTATAATTTTTTAAAAAATTATTAAATGATCCCAATATGTACAAAACTTATTTGGGGATTGATTGTGTTTGAAGTGTATCCAAAAGTCATTAATTATTTAGGTATGGGTGTACTAGTTCATCCGGCAATACAAAAATAATTAGATTATTTAATTAAATATACTTAAATATTATTTTTGTAATATATGTAGGTAATGTTAAGAAACAAAAAAGGCCATTGCACCTACATATATTTTAACAACAAACGATGAGTATTTTAATAACTCATTTGTGTTATAGGTAGAAGTATCACAATAAGACACGACTCATTAGCACGATATAAAATAAGAGGATTTGAGTTTGTTTTTAAACCGCCTACTTCTGTAAATGAATGAATTAAATAGAATACGATTAATAAATAAATTATATATACTTGAGATGATTCATTTATATATAAATTATATACGATACAAAATTGATATGACATAATTAATTAGATACAAATTGAGTGTGACAAAATATTTTTTTAATTTAAATATATTAAAATCCGACGCGAACTTACTAAACCCGACAAAATTGACGCATGCTAAAAAAATGTAGCTTTGTTATCAAAGTTTTCATAAAATTTTATTGTGAGGTGGAAGGCGCGTGGTGGGCTTTATTTCATTGTGGTCGAGGGATGTAGATTTTAAATGCGGGGCCCAGATGAAGGAGCGGATAGAAGACAGGCAACTTGCAAGAAAATGTGACTATTTGATTAATTAATGAGGGAGTGGAGTAATCAGGTGCGGTCACTTTCAAGTTGGTGAGGTTTTGAATTTTTGACCGTTGGATAACCATTATAATGAGCGGCGGAATAAATCCAACGGTTCAGGGGAGGTCCTCAGTTAGGGACCACTAAAGGACATTGGCACAGAAACAGTGATTAATCTTCACTTGGCCGGCAGGTTTTAGTGACGAGCACTATTAATATCTTGAACGTCTACTTTAGAGTAGTGGGGAAAGTTTACATGTAAACCATGCATTCCCTTTCGTTAAGAGTGTGTAACTATCCGAAGATGTGACACCGATTTGGACCGATTTCGCATTCGTTGGAATTTATGTAGTATGATTATTTGGCGTTTATGTAAAGATAATTTTAATATTTTAGATGAATTTTTTTTTGTTAAAAATGGTGGTTTAAAGATAGCGAGTGTTAGTGATGTTTAAATATAAATTATAAGGGGTGTTAGTGATGTTTTAAATAATAAAAGAGATGTTTTGGAAAATATGATAAATTAAAAGGGGTGTAATTAAAATTTTTCCTAAATTCTATCCAAAAAACCCCTTATCAGATAGTGTCCAGTTATGGGGGAAACAAACACCATGCACAGAAAACAAAACCAATCACTTTTATGTAACAATAGATTGTATATAAGTGGCCAATGAAGCTAGAGTTTAGCTTAATGTTATCAGCTGAATCTCAGAGTGAACAGAGACAATGCCCTTGATTAAGTCTTATACCAATACTATGTCCTAAGATATGCAAATCACATCTCAAAAGAAGCATATGAAGAACATCTTGGCTTCATGATGTGCTGTCTTTGTGTGTTTTCCTTCTTCTTCTTCTTCTTCTTCTTTTTCCATCTCACTAATGATGGGGATCTGTCTCTATTTCCTGAGCCAGTTCTTTCGTCAGATTATCGGCACGATCATCATGTCCACCAGCAAAAGTATAGACCCGGAATGCAAACTGAAAGGCCTTCCACAGCATTTTAGCAGACCCTTTCTTTCGCTCTTCAGTTTTGCTCGATTCACTTTCTTCATTTTCTTTTGCCTTTGCATTTCTCCTCTCCTGAATCAAAGGCCAAAAGTTTTTTTAATGTAAGAGTTTGCTGCTTCTCAAAGTGATCTAATTATGTAACAAATGATTCTAAATTGAACTACCTTAAGTGCCAATTCCATGCAGCTTGAGGAAACATCCACCATCAATTCTTTGATACGTACGAGGATGTTGAAGTCAAAATTGATCTTGTGGCTTTGAAATTTCTTGGATTCTTCGTCTTTCGTTCGTTCCAGTGTGTCCATTTCTCCTTTGATCTGCATGCAATTGGTTTGTCTCGGTGACAAAAGGAGGATTGTAAAAGTACAGTAGCACTCTTAAGGAGATGTGGAGAAACCCAGGGATTTACCTTATTGAAGTAACTCTCCACTTTGTCAATGAGTTGGCTCACAGGAGTAACTATCTTCCAGTTCTGCAGGGTAGTGACTATTGTATTGAGCTTGGTGTGCAGTGCTGCTCCCATCCTCAGTGCTTCCAATTTTTTTGTTGGAAAATCTTCAAACCTTGCTAGCACCTGCAATTTGGCGGATTGTAGGTCACGAGTCATGATCGTAAAATCATGTAAAGAATGGCAATTCCTGAACAAACTATGGCATCTAGACCTGGGTTTCGTCAGTTAATTTCTCAAGGAGGGATTCCACTTGTCTGTGGAACTTAATGAGCTCAGCCATGTCAGATGTTTGGAAAGAACTAAGAGCAACTTTCACTTCCTTGATTGATGTTGCATGGTTTCTAACATCCTCCTCGATTTGTTGGAAGTATGCCGATCTGAAGAACAAATGATTAGAACCTTTGGAAACTATTGCAAAGTTTGTTATCCAGGAGGCTAATGCGTTTGGTTCGACTCTTGTTAGAGGGCATACCTCTTTGTCATCTCTGCTAGTGCATCAGCCATTCCCTGCTTCCCGTTACCTGAGGCCCTGACGTTACTCTTTCTACCCTGTGATGATGATTTACCGTCTAAAGTAGATCCTTCCACTTTTCCTTTGAGAAGCCGATAAAGATTACCCATCTGGGATGATCTTTTCAGTTTTGTAGCTGCTTTCTTGGGACGTAACGACCTGCTGCCTACAAGAGCTGGAGGTGGTGGTGGGGGAGCACCTCCTTTTGTCTGTGGCACGGGTGGTGGTAATAGGCCCAATCTGTTTGATGACATCATGAGTGGTGGTGGGGGTAATGTTGCTATATTTCCTGATTTTATGGGTGGTGGTGGTGGCGGTGGGGGTGATGTTGCCATATTTGCAGAGGTCATAGGTGGTGGTGGTATTGCAGTAGTTCTTGTTTTCATGGGGGGTCGTGGTGGACCTGTTGTTGAAGTTGGTGGCAATTTGGGTGGTGATGACAGAGGTGGTGGTGACACTAGTGCATTCGATAAGACCATGGATGTAGGTTGTGATGTTGGTGGCGGTGCCACTGCTGCTACATTTGATCGCAACTTAGGTAGTGATGGTGGTGGTAATAGAACATCCATGGCTCGCTTTGCTGAACTGTCAGTAGTTGGCACCTCTGGGTTAGTTGGATTGCCACTCCAATTTCTTCCTTTTTCACTAGTTGTCTTCTCCAAATCAGGCATAGCAGACCCTGGTATGTCCTCTGTCAATTCATCGTCTTTGTCAGCTTCAATGGTACTTGGTGGTGTGACTCTCACTTCAAAACTGCTCTCTGGTTTAGTTTTCTGGATCAAAGGTTTTGAATCTTGAGCTGCTACATGGGGGAACATGTGGAATGATAAGCGCTTTACATCAATTGGACTTAACTTCCCAACAGCTTGAATTCTGAGAGGCAAAAGAAGTGGTGGGGAGTAACAAATCTTTGCTCCTTTGGCTGAGCCCATAGTCATCTCAGGGAGGACTGAAGTTGGGGTGGCAGGAGAGCCAGAAAATGGGGTTTGTTTCTCCGAATACGACCGGAAGAAAGCCTTCCCAAATGCATTAGAAGGGGGGCTCTCATCTTTCATCTGGTCATCCTCATCCATCATATCAAACAACCTTTCTCTTGCTACCATAATCATGTCATCGAGCATCGCCAACGCTATTTTAAGTTTCAAAGCACAAATTGTGATGAAACTGCTATTAGGAAAGAAAGAAAAACATCACTAGAAAAACAACATACCAAGTTGTTCCAAATTGTTTGTAGCCACCAGATCATCATTTTTGCATTTGATCATCCACTCATTATTACTTGTCCACAAGTTTCCAATAGATTTCAAAGCATCACAAAACAGCATCAGTGCCTGTTTAAACATGCTTTATTGATTAGTTTATTGCGTAAGACATATGAAATTACATTGGCTATGAGAATTGTTGGCATACCTGGTGCATAGTTGCTTCTGTTTCTGACATTGAAATGCTCTGTATGGCTTTAGGATACAACTTATGGAGATCTTTTACTGTCCCTATCACCAGCTACAAGAATATACATGCATTTTTGGGAGGAAAAAAAAGAGAGGGTGAATTTAACTAATGACAATATTTTTCTCAAACTTCCTATCCAGGAAGCACGGACACAAATATATGATACGGATACAACAATACAACAAAATTTTAAAAAACAAGATAAGGAAACAGGTCAAGATACGTTTATAATAAAATATATTTTATATTTTAGTATTATTTAATGACTTAAAAATTATAATTTTCAATAATTCTTTAACTCTAGTAAACAAAATTAAGAATTTTTACATTGAAAAATATGTAAAATCGTCTAATTATAATATATCTACAAAATAAGCGTGACCAATTAAAGATGGAAGAATACCTCAGTCATGGAAGCAGAGCCAGCGCAAGGAGGAAGGTCAAGTAAGTCTCGGAAGGTCATAATCTTCTTCTTGAGCTCTGTCATTGTAATGAAGTTACCCGCAACCTCGCAGGACTTGCGCAATGTCAAGCTTTTGTTTTCCCTGAGATTGTTTGGTGCATCAGAGGTTTTGTTTGTCCCCAGCAGTTCTTTTCCCTGTCAAGATTAATGAACAATATTAGTCGTGGATAAACATTTCGTTTCGAAACGGTCAAAAAAATTTTGTTACTAAAGAGAGCGAAACAAATTAGTGATGGAATCGAAATTCTAATATTTCAATGCATTTGCACTATTCTTTCAGAATGTTTCAAGATATTTTAAGATTTACTTCGATATATTTTTACTAATATTTTGAAAAATTAATTCTAAATTTTTTTTTTCATTATATTTATCAAAACGTTTCCGTTTCATAGGTGACCGAAACAAAATTTTGATCTGTCCTATCAATAAGCTCCAATCTTCTAAATTAGCAATGCCATTGTGGTGCAGCCTTTTCTTATACCATAATGTGCTGATTCTGTTAGATAATTTTGTGAATTGAAAAATTTTTGGACGCTAAAGAAGATGAAATTTGGATTCATAACTTTTTTGAATTTTTTTTCTAGTCTTTCATAAGAGCGTATCCAATGTACGAAATTCCCGTCATTACATGATCTAACCCTAGAAGTAGAGATATTATTTTTACGACTCATACAAATGACCTCTAAATGATAATAGAACAACTTTACAGTTGCATATAATAATCTAAATATAAGATGGTATCCTCTTGATTTTTGGTTGTATATGACTTCTTTGCAGATTGAAATCATGGTTTTAACAATATCAAGCTGTTTTAATTGTCACAAAAGCCATTGCATGTTTGACACAAAAACAAAAACAAAAAAAAAAACATGAAAATCTCAGAAACGATAAAAAAAAAATGTTTTAAAACAAACCTCTAATCCAATAGGCATTTTGCGGAACAGGAATGGTGCCACACTGCAGCATGTCCCGGCTGCCATGGCCAATCAATGGCAACTTCTCTTATATATTCTTGTACCACCCAAACCCAAATAGTTGGTACACGACTTTGTTGAGTTGAAATGATTAATTCCGTCAGGTTTGAGAAGAAACCCAAGATTAGACAAGAGAGAATTATAAAACTAATGATGAAAATTCAAATTTCAAACACAAACTTTGCACAGGAAATTACAACGTGCAGCCCAATGGTCTGGGTGTTGTAAGTCTATGTGGACAAGTTTCTTCTCTTTTTGTTTGGCAAAGAGAGAGAAAGAGTCGGATTAGAGGAAAATATTATTTCTTTTTTAAGGACATAGCCGCGTATTAGCGTAATTGTCGCTCTCTGTTGCTTGGATTTTTGAGTTGTTAATGGATGTTGTGGGTAGGCTTCTAACGGCTAACTAATCCATTCCCATGAAAGAAGGAACAAATGTTGGGTTATTGTATGTTTGCCAGCTAGGAAAATAATGCCACTGCACATTTGAGTTTTTATTTTTCTACTTTTTTTTTAGGAAATATGGTTAAGGGGTGTCCGAGCTCGTGTATCTCGACTAATTTCTTACCCGGTCCAATAAAAAGTATGCAATTCACGCCGAGATTGAGAAATTCATGATAAATCCGTTATGACATTTTTCTCAAGAAAACTGTCAAATTTTAAATTCAGGATGAATATAGATTACTTCTAAAAGAAAGGGAGGAAAAGGAGTTGTTACTTGATAGGTGAAACTCAATTCCAAACATCAAGGGTTAGCTGAAGTGATAATGGGGATGAACTGCAAATCCAGATGTCCTGAGTTCAAATCTTAACAACCCCTTGGGGTTAGACAATAAAAGATTTATTTCTCATGAATACTTTATTCTCAGCGTGGGTGGTCTGCCTTTAACCGGATCAGGGAGAGAATTAGTCGAGGTATGCGTCAACTGGGCCAGAAACCTTTTACCGTTGAAGAAAAAAGAGAAAGAAAGAAAGAAAGAAACTCGATCCCAAGTCATGTTTAGGAGCCGATAGTTTCTTAATCATTCGTGCAAAACCAATATTCCTCATAAATAAAGTTATTTTCGACCAAAAAAAATAAAAAAATTATTTGAAAATGCTAGAGTGATTATAATTTATTAGGGTGCCAATGAATTTGAATCGTGTGAATATTCAGATCGTATTATTTTGAATTTGTATCATGTTTGTATTATATTCGTAAAAGTTGGAGCACTAATCTACTTAGTTTCCATTTTAATAAAAACAAACGAAAATATTATTTAGTTTTCAAATTATTCGTGTCTAACACAAACCTACCCACTTATTATTTGTGCTAATTGACCATACTATATTTATATTCGTATTGTGTTGTATTCATGTAATAGAATTAAAACCCCTCCCTGCAAATTTTGTTGTTCACTTTAGGCTTGTACTTGCTTGGCTGCAGCAGGACCAGTTGCAGTATTACATTGTGATATTTTGTAAATATATTTATTAATTTTTTATATTTTTGAACTTATTTATTAAATTATGATATTTTTTAAAAAACAAAGTTGTTGACCCAACTTAAAAGTAGGATTGTCAACTCTGAATTTGTTTTTTAAAAAGTATCGTAATTTGGTAAATATTGCATTCGGGTAATTGGTAAATATTGCATTCGGGTAATTGGTACACACTGCAAGGGTGATCATAAAGAGACAGACTGTCAATGGTGGTGTATACACAAAGACAAACTCAACAAGTTTGTAACCACATGAACCAGTTCTTTTGAGAGAAACAAAAGACAGTAGTTATTCATGAGAATTGGAGGAATTAAATCCTACCACTCATACCATTGTCTATAAGCATAGTGAGCATTACATCCAAAACTTCTTGTTCATGTTTCAATGTTGCACCTTGGAAATTTTGTGTGATTTTTATTTTCGTTTTCGTTTTCAAGACATCGTCAGTCAGGACTTGAATCTCTGATGTTGATGCCAGAGACGGATCCACGAATTTTGCCTATACCTGTCGTTGCCAGATGTTGGGTTGATATTTTCAATCAGTAACCCCCAAAACAACCAAGCTTATCTTTGATTATCACCAGAAAGATCCAACACACATTGGAAGTAGTCAAAACAAAAGAATACAATTTTATTGCAATAGTTACAAAATACAAATTCTGAACTACATACAGAAAGAATTTCTCAAACATATTACTTAGTGGAAATGACAATATATGTTGAAAATTTACAACTAAAGAAAATACAAAAAAACAAAGACTTGGAAAAATCGGCACCAGGATTAGCAGTAATCTGAAGTGGAAGATTCTGCGGGAATATATCAAAAGATTATGAACTCAAGGTAAAAAGCCTGGCAAGAGATTCATGGCTCCGGTAGAAGAAAATTTTTGCTACCCTTGTCTGGTTACACACAAAATTCTTGGCAGATCAATTTCTTCAAATAAATTTTCACCATATAAAGCTTAAGCAGACATTGTTGACAGGGCATTTAAGCATTCACAAGACCAACCGAGTTTGAAAGAACAGATCCTCCTGTGTTTAATATAACACCGGATGAATTGGTACTGGCTAGTTTAGGCAAACTTAACCCAAAGAAGCCGTTTTCCTTCCCAGTGGAACTTTCTTAGATGTGATATGAGCAGAACCAGTAGCTGCAGTTCTTTCAGCAATTCTCTTCTGGCGTTGAATTGCTAATTCTTCTATTTTCTTGCGATTCTCTTCTTCCTGCATACAAGATTGCTTCATTTTGAGTACATGAGAAGGGAAAAATAGACAATGTAAATTGGACAGCACATGTTATATTATCAGAACTCAAAAACAATGTCATTCGTACCTTTTCTAATTTGCTCTTTTGAACCACAGGCCTCTTTACAGGAGTTGGTTGCTTTTTGCCATTAGAAAAATTATCTGATTTGATCTTTGAAAGAGAACCCTGCAAACTTTTAGACCTCACTTCTTTGCCCACATTTTTTGTCCCAGGAACAACAGCCTTCCGATGGGTGCTCTTACTACTGGTGGGAAGCTTCTCTTCTACGAGATCTTTTGTTTCAATGGCAGAGGACTTTCTATCGGGTCCTTTAAATGAAATTTCAGTTCCATATTCCATTTCTGGTGTCCAAGGGCCCCCAGAGGAATCTAATCCTAAATCCCGTATAAGCACCACAGATAGGTCGTCAGGCTCATAGGGACCAGATACTCCAACTTTGTTCCCCGAAAGATCTTTGGTGCCATTTTCAGGCTGGGAAGCTATAGCCTGGTCCAAAACCATGCTCATGTCTGTACTCCATTGAGTATTATATTGATCATCAACAGCTGATGGAGCTTGTACCATAAAAGAATCATCTACAGGAACAACTTTTTCACTTCTTTCCATGAGAGCACGATTGCCTTTTACTGACAAATTGTAACTGGCATCATATATATTTCGCTGGATGGTTCCCTTCGGACTTTCTGATTCTCCCGAGTGGTTGACAATGAACCAATCTTCTGTGTTTCCACTTTTAATTAGAGACGACTCTCTGTCACAGTCCAAAAGGGTTTCCTGGAGAGCAATCACTGATTCTTCTGATCTCTGAGAAAATAGAACTTCCTCTTCTGCCAAACCCCTTCTCTTCATCCTTGGAAGAGAATTCTCGCCATTTCCAAAATCTTCCAAGTGAACTCTTCCCTTAGTTTCCTCATCTCTCTCAGTCACAACAAAGAAATCTGCAGCTGTTGTCTGGTGAATTTTGTTTTTCTCTGATTCAAAGTCTTCCTCGTGGCAATTTGTTAATGCACTCCAATTACCGGAGCTCTTGATCACCAATTGTTCATCTTGAACATCCAAACGATGCTTCTGTTCTACCCCATCAATAGTCGGCTCCTCATCTCTTATTAGAAGATTCTGGAAGACATCCCAGTTCTCATCTCGTTTTGCTCCCTCCAATCTATTTGCTGCTGCATTATTCTCAAGATCCTGGTCAGCAGAATCTTTTGATCCGTTTACGCCATTAGGGATTTTGTGCCCGCCTCGCCTTTTATTGTTATGTGATGCTGACCTCCGGTGTTTCTCCAAAGATCCAACTGCATCCTCTACCTGCTGTCGGAGAGAATATTCATCGATTACTTCATCTTCAACAGACGAAAGATCATCAGGTACTCCATTCTTCTCTCCATTGCTACTCTTGGAAGTGATGTAGTTGATGTTACGTATTATGACGGTTTTGGAGGATTTCTTCTTGTGCTTTCTCCTGTATGGTTCTTCCCTTGATGAATGCTTTCTATCATGCTGGGTAGGTGCATCTGGATTACTTCCAGAATTGGAGTCACTATTTTCAGTTTGCTCATCTACCTCTGAACTTTCAGGCCCTGTTTCTTTTGGAGATTTCTTCTTTGTTATTGGCTTCTGATGTCGATGATGATCAGCTTCCCGTACAACACCATGACCAGACAAGTCCACATTTGGAGGCCAAAGCCCATTCCCCGGATAAAATGGAGCTACAGGAAGTGCACCCGAGAGAGGATGACCTTGAAATGGAGGCATTTGTTGAACAGGGCTCTGAAAATTGTACATATATGAAGGAATCTGGTTTAGCCATGGCATCTGCACTTGACCATTTGCTGAAGTCGATTGTCTCTGATCTGATGCGGGCAAGTTATCACCTGCAAGTAATATTCTTTGACATCAGAGAATATCCTAATTATCTGTTCGCATTCCCGTGTAACTTGAAAAAATACAAGACACTTCTGGTTATCAGATATCGTATGTCGGGCATGCCATACTTATCCTGGGAATATGAGCAAAATGTAATTGTCATATGCAGCAGAAATTGCAGTAATCTTTTTGCTGCTTGACTTTTGATTGGAAGTATGAAGAGTGCAATCAAAAAAAAGAAGCATTAAACAAAATATTGCGTGTAAAATGGCACTAATAATTTCAGATAAAAAACTTGCAGTGCATTTACATGAGCTAATGAAATGGGTAGGGGTGAAGTTCTAGTACCTGAATTTAGTAATCACATAAGGGTAAATGATTCGTATTTGCTGATCAGGCTATAGACTTGAAATTTTTTTACTCCCCCAGTCATACGAGATATGATAAAGCAATTTCACATTGTTCTACATTTGGTGCAAATATATGTTTCTAGATACCATAAGTATCATCAGTGTAATTAAATCTGAGAATAGCAAACTACATTTCTTCCTTATTTTATGGTTTTTTTTTTTTTTTTTGGGGGGGGGGGGGATGGATGTATAATTGACATCATCAAACAAGCTTTTTTTCATTTATCTTTATAAAGGAAGACAACCAATTTCTGCTCGATACACGAGGAAGCCAAATTGGTTATCCATATTACTTGCAATGTATATATACGTAATATGCCACAAGAAAATGAATAATTAATTGAAATCTTAGAAAAGATGAAAGAAGTGTAAACAGGGAGAAGGTGCAAGTTGGCTAAGGGTGTAGAATCACACGTTGTACATGGAGAATTGCTATTGTTCCACAAACCCCCTTGTTATTTTTTCCTTTTATTTATTTAGTTAGGGAAGAACAAAAATGTATCTAATTTAAGAAACCCAGAAATGCTTTACAAAATGGGGACCAAAGCATAGGATGCTGGCTGGATCACCAACTTTTCTTTTCCCAGTAAAAAAATTTGCTCTGTGATAAATGCAACAAGATAGTTTAATGGGAAAAAGCATGAAGAAGAGAAACTACCGTTGTTGCTCTCTGAATTTGCCTCAGTGGCAAGTGAATCAGAAGAAACATCCATTGAGCCATTTGGCACAAGTCTACCAGCAGAGATGCCACCATTGTGAAAATTTAGCATGTTGTTCGGGCTTGAGGTGTTTTCACATGTAAGAACAATCCCTGATGTTCCCAAGTATGACAGCTCTGATGGGGAGCATGACTCCATAGCTGCTAATTCATCCATCCAAAGGCCATCTGTGCGCTTTTTCTTGGACAGTTCCTTGAAATCAATGCATGCTTCCCTGCAAATAACCAAAGCTTTTCATTTGAGACTCATCGAGGCTGTTTGTTGGAACAAAGTGCATGCATAATTTGGGTTACAAACAAAGCATATTTTGGGTTAGCTTGGAAATAGAAACATTTTGAAAATATTTCACAAACGGAATAGAAACAGGAAAAAAATTGAAAATTGGAGGTCCTTTTGGTTTGCGTCTCAAAAAATAACATCCGAAAAAATTTTTGAGAAGAGTTTTAAGAAAGTATATTTTGATATTGCAAAACCTATTTGTTTTTAAAAATCAAACCAAACAGGCCCTGAATTTTCAAATATCTTGCAACATAGAAATTTCAGTATTCAATCATTGATTTCTTTCGGTTCTGGGAGTTAATCATCTCAGTAGAAACAAAATGAAATTTTGATCATCAGTTATAGAAGGCTTCTGATGTTAATAAAGGCATCGGATGGAAGAAGTCCTTCACGCAAAAGAGTATGGATGACACAATCAATCTTAGTGCAGGGAAATTGTTGATATGACATATTATAAGCAACAATTAAACTCAAGTGAAACTCAATTTGAAACAATATCGAGCCATACCTCAAACGTGAGGCTCCAAAAGCATCAGCAAAAGATAGGAGATGATCAATATCCTCGATTTCGAAACCAGCCACAAGTGCACGGGCATAAGCCATGGCTTGCTCTTTCCGTAGTAGTACTTTTCGAGTCTCCAAGAGACGTTGAAGCTGAATCCTGACCAACATAATTGAATGACTCAATACAAAACATCTAAGTCCTAGAAATAACATAGAGAGATTCCAAGAGTGAATCCATTTAGAGGTAAGATGATTTACTTGGAATTTTCTTCTTGTACAACATCATTGATTTCCTCAATTTCACCTTTTGACTAAAAGGAACCATCAAAGAAAAGTTTACATTAATAAAACAGAAGACAATGAAAAAGCATGAGATAGTCTGTTCCCTTAGGTTTGCGAAAAGAAAGGAACCTTGGAGGAATCAATTGACTTCTTTGTAATCCCATCGGCAGCTGGAAAACTCCCTGATGACCCAAATTAATTAGTACAATGAATCAGAATTCCTTTGTGGTGTGTGTAGGGCGATGATTCATGGTAATAAGAACAAATCAGTCCCACAATTCTTCATTGGAACAAATAGTGATAGGTGTAAACTGATTCTTTCAGAAAATGAAAAACTAAAAGAATTAATTCCGGACAAGTGAGATCAAATGTTGGAAGAACTTCACAAGGTCTTACATCGTTTACACAAAATTAAAAGACAGGATGGAAAAAAAAAGGAAATGGTTTAACTGAGATAATCGAATTCCAATATAGGATTCAAAAAAAATTCCAACCATACCTTTCTCCCCGTGTCCATTTGATTGGACAGAACTCTCAATCTGCAAAATCTCTCCTTCAATTTGTAGAAACCTCTCGAGAATTTCGGGGGTGTTTACAAAACGCACAAATCTACCATAAAAACAGAAAAAAATCCAAACTATATCAATAAAATTGAGCCCAGCATCAGTTTGATGGTTCTGCAGCTAATGTTTCTCAGTGTAATACGCATTGGGGGTTTCACAGTCATGGAAGTTTCAAGTCTAAGTGAACTGCAAACTTTCATTCAACTTAGCCAAATGGTATATGAGCATTGCTATTTCAATATAAATAGAAGCAACTGTCAAGTTTAAAAAAACTCTAATGACTAGTAGAATGATGATCAAATAATTCATCTACAAGAACAAATTCAGGGCTCAGAAAAATTGTCATTAAAATGATTTCATTTTAATAGTCAATAAGCTAAAAGCTTAGTGCACAATGGCCTTCAAAAAAAAATTCCATGAGTATCAATTAAATTATTGCAGTACTCTTTAAGAATTAAGAAGCATATTGCCCACATTACTATTTTCTGAAAAATCAAGAAATATATAAGTAATTCAGGATTAAATACAACTCTTACAATATTTGGAAATCATTAGCATTCTTGGGAAAATTGGGTTCTGTTTGTGGAACGAGCAAAAGAAAATAAAAAATAAAAGAATATATAAAATAATTTGTGGAATGATCAATACAATATTTGATCCATCAGAACAAAAAAATGGGTAACCAATGTTCATGGTCATCATGGGTATTACATAATTCATAATGTGACAATAAAAAAATGCAAAATTTGGTTATAATTTGCTAAAGTTCGAGATGAATTTGCTGACAGAAGGTTTGTATTTCCATAATTAAATTCTAACACAATTAAGAACTTTCATGGGGATAAAACATTAATGGCTTTGCAATGATTGGCATAGACATACAAAATTCAGTAACTATAAACAATAACATAAGACAATAAGACAATCTGGGTTTGATATATCTGATAAAAAAAGGGATTTGACTAATCCAAGAGTTACATTCCAATGCTAATCAACATTGACAAGAAATTTACACAATAACAAAAAGAAATTCAAAAGAACTCTGGTAATTAGTCTCTCTCTACCTTTGAAATGTGGNTAATCCAAGAGTTACATTCCAATGCTAATCAACATTGACAAGAAATTTACACAATAACAAAAAGAAATTCAAAAGAACTCTGGTAATTAGTCTCTCTCTACCTTTGAAATGTGGCTTTGGTGAACCAAGAAGCATCAATGGTGGGTGGTCGAAGAGTTATTGAGTACCCGCCTTTGGGAATATGATCTTTAGCAAATTTCAGGTGAGAAATGAAAGGTTCTACTAACCCAGAAGCTAATTTCTCACTGATCCCACCAGAAAAGACCACAAGATCACATCTATACATGCCATTAACACAAAAATTACTACTACTTCATCATTGTTCAAAGCCAATCAAATTAGGCCAAATTTGGGTGAACTGTGTGTGAACGTGTGTATGTGGAGATGGAGAAAAGTGTTACCTTGTTCTGGTTGGTGTGAGTTGAAATAGAGCATAATCAAGAAGGGTATTGGAATCCATACTTGAGGAGAGAGAGAGAGAAATAGATTGTGGGAGTGAAGAAATTAGCAAATTGAAGTTCAAAGTTCATAGGTTCCTGAATGTTTCTTTCAGAAATCTTTGGCCTGAACTGTACATGAGCAAGTGCCAGCAAGAGCTGATGAAGCATGCACATGGAAGGGAGTAAGAATTGGTGATCGATGACCATTTAGCTTGCAGTATGAAAACGGGTCCCACACACCACTCTGTCCCCACCTCTTGCTTGTACCACATAACTTGGAATAAATTACATTTTATACCCTTAAAATTTCATCTCATTTTTATTAAGTAATGTTTAATTAACTAAACCAATAGACCAACCAGCACGCTAGTTTAGTGGCTAGATAATTGTTCTTAGAAAATGTCTGCAAAGCTCATCTGTAAGACTATCCAACCAATTCGAACTACTCTAATTATAACAACTCTGGAGGGAGTTGTTATTTTGGGGTGTCAAATCACTTATTTATAATTTTGATGAGTGTTTTGACATTTTTAAATTATAAATCAGCTCCAATGACAGGTACCAAAATGAGGTGCCATTTTCATATTTTCATTTATTAATTTATATGAATGTTGGATCATTCAGCAATTTAATGAATTTATATTTATCAACCTATTTGCAACCTCTCCCTTTTTCTCTTCAAAATTAGCAAAAATGTCACCGCAAGAACCTTAATTTCATTTTATAACCTTGATTCCACCCCTTGGAATGGAGAATTTTGAATTTGGGGTGACATCAGCAGTTGCCCCCACTTCCCTTGGAGTTGCTTTTACATTCCAAAATTTTCACACCAGACCTGCAAACCTTTTTTTCTTAAGAGAAAAAAAAAATAGAACACTTTCTCAAATAAAATTAAAACAATTGGATACTTTCCCAAAATAATAAATAAATAAAACAATCTAGGCCTTAGAGTTATGACACTAATTTGAAATATATAACTTATGCAATTGAAGAACTGAATTAGAGCTATAAACTATATATGACATTAATGGTCAAAATTGCACAACAAATGAGGACATGTGATCCTTTCCTTTTTTGATTGCTGACTTATTTGGGTATCGAGACTTGGTCCGAAATAGTAAAGTTAGATCGACAATAAAAAAAGGCAAAAGATAGAAATAAAATGATGTGAATATATAAAAGTGGGACGAAAAACATAATTATAGTAATATCACGTCATTTTGATTCTTGCTAATCTCATCTTTTTGTGAGTGTAGTCTTACTCTAGTTGAAATTCGACTCAAAATCTGAATTTTTAATTTTTCAAGCGATAGTGTAGAAATCAAATAAAAATTAGATGCAAACTTTATATGTATAAAATATAATTTATTCCAAAATCTGTTGGAGAATTGAAATTAAACAACTTATGCATGGATACAAAAAGTCCCTAAAGAGCATTGTGAAATATTCTATTTGATAATAGAAGTGGGGATGGATTTGGTGGGTAGTCGGTGTCTCTTAGCTGGCTTAATTATTGGATGTGGGTGGCATGCACTCCTTTCCACCTTTGCAAACTTAATCACAATAATATTGGATTTTTTAAATGTTATGTTGAATTAATTATTGAATAATAATGTAACTCTTTTTGTTTGATTTCTGATTTGTTTTTAATATAATTTTTTAAATTTTTTTTTCAAAGATGGATCATCATCTTTTTATTATGTAGAATGTATTTATTTACAGTAAATTCTGCTTGAATTCGTGACGGATATTCTACGATCGAATACAATTAAAAAAAAGTAGACACGAAGATGCATACCATATTTCTAGTTTTGCTAATTAAGATCTAATGTCTTAACTGAAAATCGACAACCAAAGTCATAGTTGGTCAAGTGGTATCATTCATGAATACTCTAATTTCAATGTAGATTGTCTGTCTTTGATCGAACAGAGAGGAGATTAGTCAAGGTGCATATAAATTGACGCAAACATTTTTGACGTTAAACCCCCAAAAAAAGGTTAAGTCCTAAAATGATGAAATTTGAATTTAATTCTGTCTGATGCATTTTTTTTTCTCGATGACAACTAGATATCATGAAATTAAGTGACCCAAAAAATCTCATGCTACTTTTAAATAAGTGATTTATGATCGAAATTTTTTTTATTCCACTAGTTTTTTAATGGTTTCACCACGTGAAGAAAGCAAATGATGGAAAATCTAGCTCAATGCTTTGCTTGTGGTCAAAGATAGGTACAAAGTTGTGATCAAAGCTTTGTACCCTTGCGACTTCTCAAAATTTCTTAAAGTTTGGTTCACAAAAAGTACCTATTTAGATATGCAGATTAAAGCTTCCAAACACCCTACTTTAGGAGTTAGTAACATGATCCTCGTGTTAATTCTATGTTCATTAGGTAGAGTGGAAACCTTAACACAGTTTATCAATCTCGATATAGATAAAAAGTTATTGGGTGTGAGTTTTTTTATCTGAATGANTGTTAATTCTATGTTCATTAGGTAGAGTGGAAACCTTAACACAGTTTATCAATCTCGATATAGATAAAAAGTTATTGGGTGTGAGTTTTTTTATCTGAATGAATTTAGATCGAAATCGATTTGACCTGTTTAATTAATAGTTGATATAAAGTTGATTATGAACGATAAGAATCTGACTAAATACACTTTGAAGTCGAACGCTATACAAATTTGACATGAAATGACTATAAAATTTTGAGCACAAAATTTCACTTGAAAAATATATTCTCCATGCAACTACAACATCTAAGTGAAAAATATAACTTTTTTCTTATTTATCGCCTCCATCAATTTCACCCACTAATTTAACAAAATAGAGTTCGCTAACTTTGATTAACCGTAGCTTGATACTTGCACATTATTTTTTTTGGATATTGTGATTAGAGGTGTTTAGACTAAGTTACATATACCTTGACTAATATCTTCATCACTTTAATCAAAGACATATTATCTACACCGAAACTAAATAATTCATAAAGAATAAATTTTTTATAACCTGACGGCAAGAGAATTTTTAAATTTCGAACTCAGGATGTCTCGGTGTAAAGCTCATTCATGTCTCCGTTGGGCAACCTTGGGGTTTATTACACACTATTTGGGCCACTATGGGCCATATTATGTACAAATTTGCAAACAACCTTTGAAGGAGCTGAAAGCAGCTCATCCCTAAACTCTAAGGCGTGCCATGGGTTGGGCTTTAGGTGTTCATTTTCTGCTAATCACATAATACGGGATGAGCCCAAAATAAATTAGGTGGACTTATTCTCATTTTTTTGGAAGCAATTTATTTTCACTTCATAATATATATATATATATATATATTAAACTTATTAAATTCACTAAAATTATTATAGTTTCACCTAATTTTACACGGAGTGAAATTTTATCCAATACATCTTTTCTCTATTTTTCTTCNACTTATTAAATTCACTAAAATTATTATAGTTTCACCTAATTTTACACGGAGTGAAATTTTATCCAATACATCTTTTCTCTATTTTTCTTCGTAGTACATTAGCCACGGTCAAGTCAAGTAGAACTCATTTATATATAAGTGGACACTCACACATTAATTGTGGATAATTTGTCAAGAAGGTAAATAAAATAAAAATATTAGAAGCAATCTAATTCAATTTAGTATGACATTGAGCCCATCCCGGTCTATATCTTAAGATGTTAAAAATATTGGCCATGTTTGATTTACGTCTTAAAAAATAGTATCCGAAAACTATTTTTAAAAAGAGTTTTAGAAAAATACGTTTTGGAGTTTTTTATGTCATAAAACTTGTTTGACTATATGATTATAAAAATAGTTCTAAAGAATAGAGAACAATAAAACATGTTTGTATATAGTAATCTAGAAAACAATGAAAATAGAAATGTGATGGTGATGGTGATGGTGATGGTGATAGCGGTGGTATTTTCTAAATTCTGCAATGGTTGTGTCAAAAAATATACAAAATAAGCCAAACTTATTCTTTAAATCTACCAACTTTTTGTTCTCAATTTTCAAAAAACAAAAACAAAAACAAAAAAAAGCTGAACAAACGATTTTTCGCCTAGAAACTACTTCCAACAATAGGAAAACAATTTATGAGATTCAAATCAATCAAGAACATTGTTTTCTTTTAATATACTAGTCCATGCCCACATGCTCTGCACGTGAACTTTTATGAAAAGACAAAATATACAATAATAATCAAGGAAAATTTATTTACAAGGTGAATTTTCTTCTCAGATAGATGTGGAAGGGTCAAGGGTTAGACAATTAGACCAATAAAACCAACTACATTCCTAATATCGCCAAAATATAAAAATTGCACAAAATTTGTCATCCTCATTGACCTCCAACATCCTCAACTACCTCACTTATATCACTCTAAACAATGGCACAATAAATACTAGTGGAGAAAAATGATGTATATAATCAATCAAAAAAACCGAAGCATCACTGTAATTTTTTGACATAATATTAGAAGCTAAATTTCGTAAAATTCCACTTTGTGGCTGGTAGAAGTTTTTTTTTTTAAATCATTTACCTCCTACAAGGAACAAGGAAAAAGTAATGTAAGTGATAAAAATACGATTATTTCTTAGAATTTTTTTTTCTTGCATTACTTTTAATTTTTCAATCTTTCATAGAACAAAGCAGACACGTTAGTAAACATGTTAGCATGACAATTTTCCAATCTTTCGCCAAGCCATCACAATTTGCATGATAGAAATAACCTATGATGATAAATACAAAAACACACCATTCGAAATAGAAAAACTTCTTTATAATAATACGAAAAAAAAACTCTACAATTCTCATAATTCTCTTTATAGAGAAATATAGGTAAATAATTGAAATATGAAAACGAAATAAATCACTTTTAGGCTTTAACATTCACACATCGACCAAATACTAAAAATAACATAATTGTATTGATCGATTTGATCAAAAAAACAATAGAGAATGTCAAAATGTGAAATTATATTAGTTATCAGCAGTTTTTGGGTAAAGACGTGAATTCATTTTTGTCGTGGCCAATGAGAATTCAATTGCATTACAATGGTAAGTTTGATCTTTGATTCTATTCTACTGGGGAAATATAAGAAGGTTAAGAAATAAAATATAACAAATTAA